CCTTTTTTGCAAAGCAAAGGCAGTCATATGTGACCAACCTCAATCATAAAATGAGTCATTGACGACGAGCAAGACTAAAAAGCAACTATCAAGGCACAGTACCAATGTGTTTCGTTTTTCAATCTTCCAGAGAAATGAAGCTGATCAGACAACAAATGGGGAAATTCTACGTCGGTGTGCTTGGGGTAGCCTTACCATAACCATGATAGGGTACTATCTGTTCCTACTTTACGCATACCACTATACTGAATACAACGAGCAGCCACGTAATAAAGCGAAAGCCCAGGAGCCAAGCGAGCGCGAGGCCGTGTCAGAAGCACATCACGCGGTCAAAAGTCGGAAGCACGAAAGCAAGCACATGCTCCCGTTAATCTTTCAATAATCATAAGTGCTTCTAAGTATGAAAGCGAAAAATTTTCAAAGATCGTCTACAATTGGAGAGAATGCGTCGCAGGATGAGTTCAATATCACGGAAAGAGATGAGTCTGATCTGGACGAATCTACTACCTATTTATCGGCCTGGAGAGTCGAAGACCTGGTTTGCCTAGACGGGAGCCAAGCTTGATTTGACTCCATGGTCTTTGATGCGTTGAGTGGGCCACTTGCCACCAGACCACTTTCACTTTCCGCGACTACTCTTTTAGAAAGCAGCGTTTTTGAGGGAACAAGTAGCGGAGCTTAAAAAACCCTGTTTGAGCTACTCGACATTTAAGATGAAATTCTTCCGAATTAAGATTTTGGCAGTATTATCGCGTTCCTCGAGTCCCTCTACCAAAAGTGTCTATCATTATACTTGTAAGTTATAAAACAGAGGTTGCTCATAACAAGCAGAATCAGGAAGCAGCCCCTTATCGGGAGATGTAATTAGTACAGTAATTGGAAAATGGGTAAGATACACCCATTCCAGGTGTTGGTGACGAATGATCCCACAATGCACGCTGAAGTGACCGCGATCCGAAACGCGTGCAAGGCTCTCGGTGCGTCCATCATCCTTTCCCCTCTGGTTTCAACAATTTACTTTTATATCAATGCCTTCTTAGAGTGCTTTTTTTATAATTCTGCCAAATGTCCCCATCATATGGTATTTATTCTCAAAAGAACGGATTTCAGGAACCTTTGATCTGTCCGGCTGTGTGCTGTATACGTCGTGCTATCCTTGTCCAATGTGCATGGGAGCTTGTCTTTGGGCCCGACTTGATGCCATCTACTACGGAGCGTCAGCAGAACAGGTTAGCGTACGGATGAAAATAACCATGAATGAGCGATTGTCTTTTGAATCGAATCAATCAATCATCATCCAATTACATTGTTTTTCGAATAGTGTGCCATCATTTCAAGCTTACCATACGGTTGAGTAGTCAAGTATGAAGGTATTACAGGCAGCGGAAATCGGTTTTGATGACAAGGCTTTCCACGAGTTCTTGAAGAACCCGAAAACCGACGAGTCGCGGTAGGTTTCCACACTCGACTTTGAAACTTCTCGGCATTATCGCCTCAATGAAGCCGACTGTTATGGCCTAGGAATAAAAGGATAAAGCTAGTGCCAATCATGATCAATCCATTGCAGAACTATTTA